CGTGCAATCCCCTCTTGGCAGAAATGAAAACCAGCTTTGAGAGAGTAGCACATCAACTGAACAAAGCCAAATGAATAAAACATCCCTGCAAATACTGCAAACAGCTTTAGAAAGAGTCATGCATCTGGGACTGCCTTTTGCATCCAGAGCTGCCAACGGGAGTTTTGTCTGGAGAAGGGAACCAGGCATCTGAAAGACTGGGGTGGGTGGCATTTGCTTAGACCCAGACAGCTATTTCATAGAAAGCAACAAAGTACAGTAATTCAGGCTCTAGCACCCTCCCGAAGGGAAGGTGGGTATCTAGACAGTCTCTATTACCCAAAAAAGATTATGATTTCTAGTGCTGCTTGTTTCCTACCCTGTTCAGATGTTTTTGTAAGAGCAGTTTTAAATACAGGGCCATCCAGAAACCTATTCTTTCATCCCAGGGCATGGCAACAGGACATTTTTAGGTGGGAGAGGTCGGCTGCTCTGAATAGCTCATTCCACAGGAACTGCCCAGGATGGAGCTCAACCATGCAATTTAGCATCCCCTATGTCTCATGTCTTTGACGTGGGTACAAGGTAATAACAAGTTTCACTGTTACTCTAACCAGCGCTGCCTCAGATAAGCAAGAATAGGCTCAGATAAAGACGGATAACAAACGGTAGGATTTCTTTTTCAAGCAGAGGCCCTTGAAAATCAAGGCAACTGAAGCAAACGCACATCATCCCATGTTGAAAATTAGCATTACATCTCAGAGGACTTTTTGGACTGAAGGATGCCAAAGACTTAGTGACAATATTCACCCCTTTCTGCATTCCTTTTACACCCAGAACGGGTGGAAATACATAATCATCCAGGATAAGTCATAATTAGGCCTGTTTCCAGGGTTGTATTATGTGGAAAGGGAGAGCATGAGAAGAGAGGTTTTAATGAGTCGTAGGAGCATGTATCCCCTTGTGACTGTACAATCTGTTTCTCTGAGGGCCCAACAGAAGCTGAATAAACATGTGAATAAACAAAGAGCCAGGGCAGAGGTATTTTGGGTGTGGGGTGTCCGCATTGGAGTCCTTTCTCACACGGTTGGACGTTTCATACATAGAAAGCCCAACCTGTGGCTTTGTGTCAGTCCCAGAGCAAATTTCAGAAGGCTGCAAAAGAGCCCATTCCTTGTGATGAAGGAGGGACCCTGAGGAGAGGGGGTGGTGGCACGTGCGTTCCCCAGGGGTGGCTAAAACGGAGCTGGGCCAGGTAGCACAAAGGTAGCACAAAGGCTTTCACTGTGCCCCGAGCTCCCCTTCATTGCCCAGGGCATTTCAGGGCTCTGCTTCCAAGTGGGCTACCATGTATTTAGCATTATTTAAAATTGAGGGCAGGCTTTCAGTCCAGCAGGACGTGCCCAGCACAGAGCAGAGTCCCAGCACCTTCCAAGCATGGGGCAGGTGTCTGAGTTGGTCACCTCCTTGGGATGAACGACCACACCATGAGCAGTGCTGGAGGACCAGGCTGCAGGACAGATCCAGCCTGAAGACACAGAGTCCATGGTGCATCTTCTCCACATCATGTGTCCCACACCTCCCCAGGGGGTCCAGAGCAGAAAAGGTAATGACCTCCATGCTTAAAGTCCAGAAGAACTTGCACAGCTCCATGGAAAAAATCAGGAGACACCATGAGGATCTTCAGCATCCTTGGCCATGCAAGAGCAGGGATTTATTGTCTCAGCCTAACCACAGCCCCAAGATACAGGGGAAGGCAGGAGACCAGGGTGACACCGTTTGCGGCCATGGCACGAAACCTTTGCTCCCAGCTGGGAGATCTTAGCAACTGTTGCCACAAAGTCCTGCCTAGGAAATAACGTCACCAGATCTACGTGTCCGCGGGTGAGAAGGGAGCTGGAGGAGGAAAAGGGCAGCCTGTTCGTGCTGGGAGGAGGAGGAGGGGAGGGTCACCTGGCTCTGCTAGGAGGAAGGTGAGGGAAGACGGTCAAGGCTTTCCTGATCTGCACTGCGCTGGTTAGTGCCTGTCCTTGCACTTGCTTCCACCCAGCATCTCAGCCCATGCGGCAGGGAATGGTAAAACCCCACCGAAAAGGAAGGCCGATGCTCTCTGATTGTCTAATCTCTATTTTGCAGGCTCTAATCTGCTCATTTAGCAGCGGTGTGTAAAGAGCACCTGGATGATTCACCGTCTAAGTGCTGCTCTTGTGGGGCCAGTTTGCTTCAGCTGTTGTAACATTTGTTTACATCTGTGCTAGGGTGGCCTTGAATAAGTGCGAACCTCCCACAGACGCTAATTCATATCAGTTCTCCTTCGTGTTAAATATTTATGTTCTTAATATGCACGCCTAAGAAAAATACTGGCAAGTAAGCCTGCTGCTCAACTCCATTACTACTCAATTTTATCTCAGTGCAATTTGCATCTCAAACAAATGGGATGAGAAAACACTCTGTACTTACAGTGCAAAACAGCCCAGCAGTTCAGCCATTAGCAGATCTATCGATTAGACGACAACGAGACCTATCGATGAGAACTTGCAACGACTTTTTGCCGTCGGTGCCTGGACACATAACTGCGTTGCAAAGGCAGGCGAGCTCTAAGCAAATCCCCACAGCAGCAAAGCATAAAACAAACCAGGCCAGACAAAAATGCCGTTAATTGCTTGTTGTGTGAAATCAAAGCCAGTCTGTGCAGAGAGCTAAAGGAAAAGCATGTGTCCTCAGAGCTGATACGTAGCCCGGCCAGGTTACAGGGAGCCAAGAGAGCTGCTTGCTCCAGCCCCGAACGGTGCCAATCAGGATGGGCTCATTGCTTTCAGTAAAGACATCCTGGCTTACACCAAGTGAGAATTTTTTTTAAAAATATGAAACCCATTACTTTTTTTTGTTTGTTTCTTACTATCCTAGTAAGTCATCAAACAGTTCTGGCCTTTAGAAAAAAGAGGGGTGCAGGGAAGCTGCTTACCTTGCTGGAAAGCGCGCGGTGTCCTTGCAGGTCTCCCTTTCTCTGCCGAACCCAGCACTCTCTCTCCTCTTTGGTGAGCTAGTTTCAAGGCACTTCTGTTTGCTGTTCTGTTACCTTGTCAGCTCGGGAACAGCAGCGTTCAGTAATTCAATCCTCTACTTAACCGCAGAGACACTCCTACTCGGAGATCACACCCATTCCCAGGCTCACGGAGGGACAAAGAGGGAGCCGGTATGAGAGAGTTTCAACCAACTCACTGTTTGCATCAAATATCCACCAGCCCTGCATTCACAGAGCAATAATGATTAAGTGCTGCCTTAATTAGAAACCTGTTTTGTCCAGATTTAAAAGAGCGGGGGGGGGGGGGGGGGGGGCCCTCTTTAAGCAGGTAAAAAACTCCTGCAGTGTCATTTTCAGCTGAATGCTGATTTTCTTTGCCTCAGGGGGGGGTTTCCCTCTTTTCTCTATTTCTGCTGGACAAAGCGAGGCGCGGTGCTGCTCAGTCCCATGTTAACGCTTGGAGCCGAGTCCCAGCTCTCGTCTCTGACTCTGACTGTCCCGAATTTTGGCACAGTTGGTCTGAGGGGAGAGGTGCTCGGGGCAGGCAGCTTGCTCCTGCGCTCCCTGCGAAGCCGAGCTGGGCCTCCCTGTGCTCGCCGGCCGGACCCCTGGGTGTGTGTGCAGCCCAGGGCGATGGGGAGCAGGGGTGAGGATTGCCATCAGGATTACCGGCTGAAATGGGGACGTAATGGAGCACTGGAGCGTGTAACCGGGCTGCCCTCCCAGGGGAAAATTAATGATAACCCAGAAAACTCCAGCGAAGCTGGCAGCAGAAAGCTGTGTGTGTGGATACTCATTGCGATATCATAGCTGATCGTTAAGAAAAAAGCGTATGCAAAGGTTGGCTGTAATATGCAGCTGCCCCTTCTGAAAGCTGCCCTGATGCCCCTGGCTGGGGGTGACCTGAAGAGAAACCATCTCCGCTCCGTCCCAGCTGCTTCTGCGTGGCATCTGCATGGTGCTGCTCACTGCTGGTGGAGGGAACGTCCCTCGCTGGAGGGGGGTGGAGGGGGACCCACGACAGTGTCCAGATGGGTTTTCAGTATCTCTGAGGATGGACACTCCGTGACCTCTCTGGACTGGGAACCGTGCAAGTTCTTCCCTTCCTATACATTAAGCTTCTCTTGCCATTTCCTTAATTTCTTTCCACAAAACTTGAAAATAGATATGGATCAGCTCATCAGCTAAACCAGGTATCAGAATAGGTTTAAACCAACACAGTTTCCACAGATCTAGTCCACTGACCCCAAGGGACCTGTAATGAAAAGAGCACCCAAAATATCCATGACATTAGCTACAGACCAGTGTACCACTAATCACAGATAGCTGCAGATCAGGGCGCGGGCTGAGCCTGCTCATTGAGCCTGGGTGTGCCCATATCTGAGAGGAACACTTCAGAGATCATAGTTTCATGGTTGAAGATGCAAAACTGACTCTTAGCAAGCAATTTATTCCTTAATGTCGGAAGGCTACAGTTCATAAAACCTGTAACAGCCTTCACCTTTCATTTTTCATTCTTTTAATTTCTGAAAAATCATACTGAGTGTCTTCCTCTGTTACAGGGAACAGAGGAACCATGTTTTGTGTCTTCCTCCAGCCCACAGGAGATGGGGACCAGTGACAGGACCTGCTTTTATCTTTGGCATCAACCCCAAGCCCACTGCTGGCCCAGCGGCAAGGGTCATACACCAGCAGCTGCGGTGGGAGGCATTAGAAGCTGGGGCGAGGACACCTGGAGACCTCAGAGGATTGTCACCAAACTCCATCATGCTCCGCTTCCCCTTTTGCCACATGAATTCGTTATCCCCAGCACCAAGGGTTTCATTAATAGCTGCTGTGTGTCTGGATTCTTTTCACTGCTGATACATGCTGATGTAAACCAACCCGTCTCCATGGCTGTGGCTACATGAATTTGAGCTTTGGGATGAAGCATGCCATTCCTATACCCACAGCTTTGGCCATGCCCATCAGGCTCATGCACAGGTGATGTTTGAGCTGCCTGTCCCCACTCCTTTCCATCGCCACAGTGAAAAAGTAGTAAACAATCCTGGTGAGATTTTAAGGAGCCCAAATGCGTAGAAATATATGTAAAGCAGTTTAGAACAGTCAATGCCGAGGGAAAAGAAAATGTTTGTCATAAAACATGGGCTCATTTAGTGCTGAGCTGTAGGCACTTTTGCTTCCTGCTAATTCTGGTCATGCCATGGGGTTATAGAGCAGAAAACATTATTTCCGAGCAGTTTAACTCAGTACTGGTGGAAAACAGAACAGCCTGACTTTCATAACTGAAACATGATCTGAGATGTTCCTGTTCCAGCTATTTTTCTCATGTGCATGACCTGATGCACTCATATCCTGGGCCTAATTCTTGACTTGGTATTCCCAGAGCTCAAAGACCTTGTGCTTTCTTTTTTTTTTCATGCATACAGATGGCAGATGAGGCTGTTTTCAGTGTCCCAGTGCAAGCCTAAGACACTGAAGACATTGTCACAGGCTGATGCTGGGGCAAATCAGAAGCTGCTGGGAGGAAGGCTCTGCTGAAGTGCAAAAGCAAGGTTTGGCAGTGTAATGGCCCACATCTGCCTCAGCCTTGGCCATCCCACATGCCTGTGGACAAGGTTAACATTGTGCATGGGGAAAGAGGCTCTGCCAAGGATGTATTTGCAAAATGACACGTTGCAAAGGTATTTCCACCCTGCTTTTGGGTATGGAGCTCCAGGAGGAAGAGGGAAGGGCCAAACCCTGCAGATGAGATAACATGGCAGGGGCCTCACGGTTTGGAAAAGCAAGGGAGGGAGGCAAAAAACCCCCACCAGCTGCTCAAGACACCAGTGCAAAGACCCATCGCTACTTATGTGAGGTTAAATGTCCTGACTTGTAGCAGCCAAAGCATTGCATGAATTCCTGAGAACATTTCAGGAGAGCTTTCCTTGACCCACAACCAAAGCATGTGACATTTTACTACACATTCCTCACGTAACCTCGCTCAGGCACTTCTCCTCCCTACAAAATCATCATGTCCAAATGAAAATCTACATAGCCCCTACAGATAGAAGAAGATCGGGCTACAATTTACTGCTTCCACATCTGCTGTGCTCCTGGGTATGGGGAAAAAGATGAGAAAGCAATACATATGCATGTATATTGACCATGATATGTTCAAGGACCTCACTTGTTAGGGCTTATAACTTGCTGAAGCAGAAGACCTCCTGAGAAGTACATCTCAGCCAGCCATGGCATCTGAGCCATGAGCAAGGCAGGGATGACTGGCAGCCATGAAGGACTGAGCACCAGCCTCATGATTTGGCCCAGCTGCCTGCAAAGGGAGTTTTGATATGGGAAAGTGAACACAGCTTTGCTCTTTGGCCTGGCAGGCTCGAACCAGTGGAGGCTGGGGCTTCGCGTGGATACGGTTTCGTAGGGTAGTGCTCTGCGAGCATCAGCTGACTGGGCAGCACAGAGCTGCCTCTGACAGGTAACAGTGTGCTGGTTAATTGTTAACGCTAGCAAATGGAAATGTCTTAGGACAGGGGAAGGTGCCCAGGCACAGGAGTGAGGAGTGCTCCTGCACTGCAGTGCCACGGTGCAAGGCTGTGCTGCACCGACGGAGACACAATCATCTTGAGCTGTAGGGAGTCATTGAATCCTCCTCCGGTCAGCCCGTGTCAGTCGATGGCTCTCAGCATACAGAGAAGCCTTGATCCTGCAAACGAGCCCTTTCAGCACAGCTCTTGGGCAACGTTGTGCACGAAGCCGTGTGAACAGAAGATCCCTCACAGGCAGGAGCAGGACAGGCCAAATCCTCTTCTACCTATTCGGAAGAAAAGAGTGGCCTTGGCAAGCCAAGAACACAAGGGTAAACGCTGATTTTGGGCAGGAATAGCTTTGGCGAGAGCTGTAGAGATGCAGTTCACTGTCCCAGAGCCAACAGCTTGCAGCAGGTTAAGACAGGAGCAGTCTCTCTGGCACAGGGGTTACAACATTGAGGCAGAAGAAACCTGTACCTGTTGCTCCAATTTATTGCTTAGCAATCTTAGTGCAAAACCCATTTTAAGCCAGCTATGCTGGGCTGTGAATTGGGGATATGGGGCTCATATTTCCTCAGGTTTATGGGAAAAAGTACCCCCCTGCAAAAGAAAAGGAGAGAAGGCCAGAGATGACATCTTGTAGCATGACAGCAAGGTCTGCCAGGGCTTCTGGTCAGTCTTGAACCCCTCTTCTATGTCCTAAAATGTCTATAACCCATCCTTGAAGGTGGGAGGGACAACTCTAGGTCTCTGCTAGCAAGGAGAAATACCTCAGTGAATATAACTGCACTGACTATAATGATGGGATATAACACTACTGATGGAAATGGCCATACCATGCCAGACCTCTCTTGGTCTTTCTGCATGACCTTTGGCTGCAGAAAGGTTTGCAGAGTGATATACTGCAATGTGTTTTCTTTTCCAAAATTACATTTGGGGGAATGCAGAGAAAAATCCTCGGGGAGGGTGTTTTTTCCAGACTCCCACAAGTGAATGACTCCTGCCTTGGAGCAAAAGAGCTACTGTCACCTTTCAGGAGGTTAATCTGCAACTCGCCCCAGCACAGGGTCAGCCGGGGAGGCGGCAGTCTCCAGGGGCGGCTGGCCGTGCCTGTGTGCACTGCGGGCGTGGGTGCCTCTGCACCGCTCTCCGTTTGCTCTTGTGCCCCACCGCCAAGAATTAGCAGGTGCACTGAGAAAACAGGATAGCTGAGGTGGGACCGTGACGTGGCACGGGCAAACAGCAGCCCTGGCTGCCTTCCAGCCAGAGGAGGAATGAGACACAGGGGCCCAAGTTTGGATCCGGATGTATTCAGACTATTGTTTTATCCGGGGAGTCTTCCAGAAGGACCCGCATCCCCCAGACCCATCACCCCCAGGTCCCCGTCAAACCCTACTCCTAACGTTGATGCCAGAGTTTGGGCACCTGATGTTCTTCAGGTTATTGACTGACTATCTGCTAG